ATCTTTCAGTGCACCCAACCTACCTCTTTTGCTATTCATTATTTTTTGACTTTTTGTTGACTTATCCTTTTGTAACTATTTTTCTAATTGCTTTCACTTTTTCCACTAAATTCTTTAATCATTTTTTTTATCATGTGCCCAATCCTCTCGTTGCTCAACGCATCTCCACTTCTTCATCACATTTTTCATCACCATCCTCTTCCATCACATGACCCAATTTTTTCTTTATTATTGATCCACCTTTTATGGATGCTACCTTCATCCATGGTCTAAACCTTGCTTTTTCATCGCTATTCCCTTTATCTACGTCTTCTTTCCCACATATTCTTTTTGCATGTCCAGCTTCCTATACCCGAAACAGAAGTTTGAAAACTTCTCATACTTCAACCTTGTCTAAATCCTCTCCCCCCATCCTCTAAGCATTTAAAACCTTAGTTTCAGTGGCTTTTCCACATCAATTTCAACCCTTACCCTTTAAAAGCACCTCCTTACCCCTATTATTCATAAAGGTTCCTTTATATTGATTACCTTTTCTAACACACTGCCAATCTTACTAGCATTTCTTCTGGTTTGTATTTTTAAGGGCAAGTTGTGAATATGTACCCAATACTTAACTTTAGAAAAACATACTTCTTCTACATTTTTATCCACCTCCCACTTCTGTAGATTAAAACAACACCCCATAACCATCCACAGCCCTTTCTCTATGGCTTACTTCATCACTTTTTTTTTACTTAAAAGTTACTACATACAAATACAACCCCATCTTTTTAACTTCAACTAACTCTTTTCTTAGCCAACGCTTTTTAATACACCTAGCGCACTTTTGTGATTGAACATTTTATTTGATATGACCTTTCCTAATACTATAAATCTTGTAGCCTTCTTGATCTCCCCTCATCGCGTCTCAAGTTTGATTTTCAATTCCTCCATTATCCCTTTCTCCACTACCTCTAATCTAGTCTTTGCTCAAAAAATAAGGTTTGGAGAATGGTTTACGATTCTTTAGTCCTAATAATTACGGTTTCCATGATACCCTAGACTCAACTATGAATGCCAAATAAAGAAAACTCAAAACCTATAAAGGACCATAATTCGATAACCTAAGATCCACTACTTTACGATAAAAAAAATAAAAAACAAACAACAAAAACACACATATCAAATAAAAGAACCACTCAACGAAGAAAAACTATGAAGAATTAGCTTGGATTTGATGAAAACCACCTAGCAGACAAAGTTGATAAGCCTAACAACCTAACAACCCTCATTGAGAATTCTCAGAAAAACTCCAATCTAGAAAGATATGTTCTCATTTTAAAGAGAAAAAAATAGACTTTTTCTTTTGGATTTTAACGAATTGAACCCATAAAATATATAGATTGTTTTGTCATCTCTGTATTGATTTTTTCTTTACAAAATTTATTTAATAAACAAAATTTAAAAAAAAATCAAATAGTATGACATGTCAATTTATTAAATAAAGATATCAAATAATATTTTTAATAAGATACATATTCAAATATAGAATTAAATAATAATAAAATATATATTTTATATAACAAGATCGAGACATAACATTCAAAATCTTATTTTGATCTGAACTTAATTTTAAAAAAAAAACCTCAATCCAATTATCCCAAATTAAAAGAAAATATACCAATTGAATCGAGACAAATTGAAACTCATCAAGAATAAGTTATTTTGTCATCTCTATCTCAATTAATTTTTTTATTATAAAATTTACCTAAGTAAAAAATTTTAAAAAATAAAAAACCCAAAAAAATAAAAACTGAAAAAAATGAAAAAAAAAAAAGAAAGATGTCACGTGGATACCCCAGGTAGAATGGAACATCTTAAATCCATATGTTAAATCTAATCTCGATTTTTTTAAAAAATGCACTTATATTAAATCGATACAAATCAAAATCAATCAAATATAATTCATTTTATTATGATAAAATAGATAAGTAGTGTAGTTGTGGAATAATATGTCCTATTTTTTTTCTTAACGAAAGCTTTGGGTTGCAATGTCCATAAATTAATAGGATGGGCCTCGATCTACTTCTTGTTTTTCTTTTTCAACCTTAAGCTCTTATGACTGGGCCTTTATTTGCTTTAATTTTTCTCACTATAATTCTATATTAATTATAAAACACCTTATTTAAAAATTATATATAAAGTTTCTTATTTTTTTAAACATTAGTATTTTTTATTCAGTGCATTACATTTAAATTAATATAAATATATATTTAATATAATTTTAAATTATAATTGTAAATATATATTTAATATATATTAAAAATCTTAATTACATATTTTAATTTAATATATATAAATATATTTAATATATATTAAAAAACTTAATTAAAAAGTATAATATTGGTCAAAATAAATTAAATATGAAAAAAAATGTTAACTAATCTTTAATATCCATCTATACTTATATATAAAAGCTATCCTTATACTTAATTTACTCCAATTTCTTGTCAAATTAGCATTTTTATTATTTTTCAAATGTCAAATCAGCACATTTCATTACTATATCAATTTATTAAATATTATTATATTTAATTATGCCGACTTATGTGACACATGTTTTTTTAAAAATAAAGTTAAAATTTTTTTTACAAGTTCATAATATTCTTGACAATTGACAATTCAAGACACCACCCTAATGTTATTGTTGCTAGCCACCATTACATTTGCCACCACCACCACTACCACTGCCATCATCACCACTCCTACACCCCCACTATCACCATCACTACTCCCACCACTGCCCTTATTCCCATCACCGGCAATCACTAAAATCCAATAGAAAAATAGAAACTTTTGGATTCAAGCTTTGAATGCATCAAAACCAATAATCAGACTAACAAAAGATAAGAAAATAATTTTTTTTACATAAACAGCAAACCCATAAAAAATAGCTTATGGTAATCTTTACTCATAGTTCTCAAATTGATAAAATAAAAAAAAAATTTTATTTCTTTCTATCCCTGTCAAAAATAAAAACTAAAAAATAACACAGTCTTTACCGAAATGAGGAACCTAGCCAAGCCAAAAAATTAAAAAAAAAATAGTAGAGGTGAGGTTTCAGTTTTGGGATGGTTTTGGTATTAAGGCGTTATACTGAGATTTGGGGCTTGGTTTTCAGTGTATAGAGAGTTTAAAACTAGGGGATGAACATAGTAAGAGTTGGCAACCATCAAATCGACAAAATAAGGGTATTTTGGACTTTGAAGTCGAGACTTTAACTTTAAATCTAGAAGAATCTAAAGAGATTTAGGAAAAAATGAGGCCAGATGAGTATTTAGAAGATTCAAACGAGTTAAAAAATCCAATGGCTAGTGACAAAAACTGGGGAAAGGGAGAGTTGTTTGAGGGAGTGATTTTTTTTTGGCAAAAAGGATAATTTTTTTTTTTTTATAAAAGTTGTCATTCATATTGAATGGTGTAGCTATGGGCCATTGCCATTGATTATCTCAATATAATGTCAAGAGCCTGATGGTGTCACAGACCGTGCACGAGTCCTAAACCAAGAGGGTAGCTAGGCTTAAGCTTTCGGCATGTGACAATGGCACCTTTTTTTTACTAAAGACTTCCATTTTAGTCCCTTTCTTAAATCTCATGATTTTTGTTACATAAATTTCAACACCCAAATAACAAAAAAATTGAAAAATGATACGATTAATACATAATAAATACAAATATAATTAGAATTTCCTTGGGTAATTAATTAATTATTTGTTTGTTTTTGTTTTATTTTATTTATATTTATGTTTTATATTTAATATATGCATGTTAAGATTTAAAGTTATTTGAGCATGAAATATTTATTTAAATGATATAATGAAAAAATAATAATCTAATTGTTAAATAAAATGTTAAACTAAAATCTTTTGCATAATAATAATTTTATTATAAAATTTAACAAATTTTAAAATAAAACAAAATTAATTAAAATAATAAATAAAATGATATGATAAAATTATTTCAAATAATAAAAGTTTAAAAGGTTGCAAATATGCCACTAAAAAATAAATTTTTAAATTTTATTTAAATGATGGTGAATTTAAAAGAAAATTTATAATAATATTTATTTTAAATTAAAATGAAATAATAAAAATTAGATAATCAAATAAATGAATGTCTAATAATTTTAAGGTCCTTTTTAAGGATAAAATCAATGATAAAATCTATATGAATTACAAATGTGTAATTTTTTTAAAAAAATTATTTCTGAATTATCCTAAAATGATGAATAATTTATAAAATTTAAAATTAAAACCAAAATTTTGAACTATGAAATTATAAATATTATGAATGAGCGATCCTTAGAAAAAGATTTTAGGGAATAAAATATTTATAAATTTTACTAGTATGATAGAAAATTTGAATGGTTTTATAAAAATGGTAAAAGATTAATTAAATTGCAAAAGAAATTTTTTAAAATGATATTATAAAAGTTTTCGTCAATCCGACGATAAAATCTTTTTAAAAAAATAAATAGATTTTTTGAATATTTTTTAGATAAGGAAAATTTTTTAAAATAAAAAAATCTTACAAAATTTTTTAATATTTGACTAATTAAATTTAATTTAAAATAAAAGATCATTTAATTAAAATCAATTTAAGATAACATAAAATTATTTTTCAAATATGTTTGTTTACATAATTTATAAATAAATAATTTTCATAATTAATAAAATGTAATTATATTAATATTAATATATATATTAAAATATAAAAAATTTTAGTAAAGTAAATAATTATTTAATATAATATAATTTAAAATTTTATTTTAAAATAAATTTAATAAATCTAATTTATCTAATAAAAATATAATAAAAACAAATTAAAATATAAAAATAAAAATAAAGGAAAGAGAATGCACTTGGACGGCCCTCTTTCTTGCGGCCTCTACGGCTTTAATATTATCGATAAATCATACAGCAGGTCTTTTTTTATTTTTTTAATAAAAATTCTTTCATTTATTAAAAAAATCGAAAACTATTATATTATTTTATCCCAATTTCCTGAGGTAACAGATCTCACTACTCAAAACCCTAAAATTTTCAATCTGTTGCCTATTATTATTGTTACATTTTGATCCCAATTTACTTTCTTTGTTGTGGGTTTTCCTTCCAACACAGGGAGAAGTAAAAAAGAGAATGCTTGGTGGGTTGTACGGAGACCTCCCTCCGCCGTCCGATGAGGATAACAAACCCAGCAGTAACTCGACGGTATGGTCAAGCAGTACCAAAATGGCTCCTCCTACCCTCCGCAAGCCTTTCTCGGGGTTTGCTCCGCCGCAGACAATCCTCAGATCCCAAAACAAACCCAAAAACGCAATTCCCAAAACCACCCCTTCTGTCTCCGCCTCACCCTCCCCCGCGATGGTTGCACCCGACGACATGGCGCAACAGCAGCCCGCACTGGTAGCCGTCACTTCCACTGTGATCGAAGAGTATGACCCAGCCAGGCCAAATGACTACGAGGACTACCGGAGGGAGAGGAAGAGGAAGGCTATGGAGGAGGAGATGAGGAGGGAATTGGAGAGAAGGAGGAGAGAAGAGGAGGAGAGGGAGAAGGAGAGGGAGAAGGACAGGGAGAGAGAAGAGAGGGAAAGAGAAAGAGAAAGAGAAAGGGAAAGAGATTATAATGATTCAAGGTTGAATATTTCAGGCGAGGAGGCGTGGAAAAGACGTGCAGCAATGAGTGGTGGAGTGCCAAGGTCCCCATCTCCGCCGGCTAAAGCCGAGGGCTTCAGTATTGGGAAATCGGAGACAAGTGGACTGGGCGTTGGGGCAGGTGGGCAGATGACTGCTGCCCAAAGGATGATGGCAAAAATGGGGTGGAAGGAAGGGCAGGGTCTTGGAAAGCAGGAGCAGGGGATTACTACTCCATTGATGGCAAAGAAGACCGACAAGAGAGCTGGCGTGATTGTGAATGCCAGTGAGACTAGTAAGCCTGAGAAGAAAGTCAAGAGTGTCAGTTTCAATGGACCCCCTACTCGCGTTTTGCTGCTCAGGAACATGGTATGCCCAATTGCTCATCCTTACTCCTTTGAAGTTTGCTCCTTTATCTTTGTTTTAGATAGCATTTCTGGTTGCAATTTAAACTTCACTGCTCAAAGGATGCCTTCTAGCATATCCTACTTCTTTTGTGTAGCTCTTGATGCTTTCGGATGCTTGCAGTTATTAATGGTTTTCTTTGATCATGGTGACTGGACTTGTAACTTTCTCTGGGTTGTTTCTTTGCTTGCCTTGCTTCTGTGCTCTCTGTATCTTGTCTAAGATGGAAACATTTTGACGTTCCATATCACTGGTTGTTTGGATGAAACTTCACATGATATAACATATAGAAAGGAATGACTGGAGTAAGCGAACATTGAATGCCTAAATCATCTTATGACAAATAACAAAAGGGTATGACAAATTTTTATGTATGTACTAGTCACCATGATAACATCATAAAGAGGAATAGACTCTGGCAATATGGAACATAAGTTCAATGTGAAATTTGTTTGAATCCTTTTGCATGTCAGGTGAAATTTAAGTACTCAAAGAAGTTGATTGTGGTTGGTTGGGTGTTGTTGCTTCTTCTAGGAAAAAACTGGAGAACATAGTGCTTCACTAGTCTAAAATTTTTCCATGCTAGTGTATTGATTTTCTATTTGGTGCAATGGTAGAATTCTTAGGGTGGGGACTGTTTGTCTTTTGGTTTTGGTCTTGAGAGTTGATAACATACAAATAAAATAAGTTCTTGAGGTATAAAGCTGTTTTCGTATCATCTTTCTTCGACCGTTCTTAAGCAGGACTAGGCTCCTGGGCTTCTTGCTGATAAAATTCTACTGTTTGTGTTAATTGAAGGATTTAATCACACTAAACATGTGCATGTTTGAAACATTTTGGGGCATGTTGGATATATTAGTGTAAATGGTTGTTTAGTACATGAACTTTCCGCCAATGTCCATTTAAGAACATGAACTTTTAAATTGGTCATTCTGGGATCTAAACTTTACAAATTGAACAAATTTAGGAAAATTGGTAAAAGAATCTGTCAGATCCGTGAAATTTCTCCATCTAGCCATAAAAGTGATGGTGGCACATGAAGCGGCAGTCAAGTAGAGCACGTGACCTTAATTTTTTTTTTTTTTCCTTTCTTTTCTTTTCTATGGTTTGGGAAATCTATTTTTTAAGCCATTACAACATTAGATATAGTAAGTTCAAAATGCTTGGTTTTGTTTTTTTATTTTGTAATATATGCCCCTCCAGACACTTTCTGAAGCCCAAATCTGATTCCCACTCAAGTGACGTGCGTTATTGCTTTCACTTGAGCCCATGTCATCCATACAGTTATATTGCTTTCCTTTGCTCTTTTTCTATTTTTTTTTTTATTTTTATTCCTTTTTATGAATCAAGTAGGTGATTTTCCTACTTAGAAATAATTAATCACTATATTAACTAATGCCCTTAAAAGTATTCCTTTTTTTAATAAAAAATACATAGGCTTTTCTTTGTATTTGGGTGGATGTGTTTGATCTTGGAATTTGAACTCCAAAAGGGTGGTTTGTAGAAGTTAAAGGGTGGTTTTTTCTTATTTCCCTTTTGAACTCCAAAAGGGAAGCTGTGGCTATGGGTGAAAGTATGAAAAGAGGAAGGTAGAGAGATAAAGTACATTATGGGAAAAAAGAAAAGGGAAATAAGAAAAAATTTTAGAAGTGGGATGTGGCCTATTTGATTGCAACTTGGAAAATTTTAACAAATTTAACGTATTCCATTATTAATTTCCTGAATTCGTTAAAATTTTAAAGTTTAGATCTTGAAATGACCAAATCAAAACTTCATGTTATGAAATGGACATTGGGGTGAAGTTCGTGTCTTGAAACAAGCATTTAGCTGGATAAATATAAAGCATGGATAGGGTTGGATTCAACAGACAGTTTTATACTCTGTTGTCTTCAAATATTGGTTCTTTTTTTTTATGGGATTTCTTTATTTGTTAGTTCATTTCCAAAAGTGTGACCCCCAAAACATTTATTTTAAGCGTTCGAAACTGAATTCCAGCTTTGAAAACAAGCAGTTTATGCCAAGCTCGCTCATATGATATTGTATTAAATCTGATTTGGCAAAAGTATTAATCTGCAAAATTACATTTTGTTGTTTGTTGGATGGTACTAGTAAGGCATCATCATTTTCCTTGTGAGCTAGACCTTGGTGACAACATAAGGCTTGTGATATCATTGGGTTATCCTCTGGACTTTATGATCATCATTTGATTGTCCTTGCTTGTATATATTTATACCATATGTTTACATTCAAATTTTAAAGGTCAGATCCTTAACTAGTAAAGCATAAAGAATGGGAAAGATGTGTGGCACTAACAATGACTGGAAACAATGACTTTAGTCTCATGGATGTATTTGGCAACAGATGAGCAGGATGGTAAAAATGGTTGTTGATCTTCACATCCTTTACGTCCTTATTGCACATGTTCTTTCATTATTTCTATCATCCAAACAGCTATTTTTCTTCTTTTCATGTCCTTTACCTCCGTATTGCACATGTTCTTTCATTATTTCTTTTATCCAAATACCTTTGTTTTCTTCCTTTTATACCTTCAAAATTTGTTATTTGCTATGACTCTTCAGTGAATGGATGAATTAGAATTAAGCTTAAATTGAGTGAATTGCCAGATTGAACAGTCCTGTACTTGTAATTTAGATCATTAGAAAATGGGGTTTATAGCTAATAGATGGTCATTTTTTATGACCTAGAATTTTATACTTGCCGTTGGAAAGTTGGCTTCTTGGAAATAGATTCATACATGGAAAGGGACTGTAAGATTTGTAAATAGCTGTGAAGGAGATCTTTTTATGTATTCAGTATCTTTAGCATTTAACTACAGCCTGAGAAACAGGTCAAGAGTCCTTGTGCAAATCGGTGGAAGAGAAATATCACTTACACTAATAGTTTTTCTTGTGTAGTATGCATGGAATGCTGGGTCTTCCCTACTTGATTTGATAAAAAAGCATCTGAGAAAACAAATGTTTTGTTTCAATAAAGAAAGCCTGTGATGTAGATTGGATTTGAAAAACAGATATAGTGAGCTATATGGGAAAAAAGGGTGGGGGGTGGGGTGGTTGTTAAATCTTGAAAATATTAGATTTTTGTGGTCTATCACTTTCGAAAATGCCTAAGGTTTGTTTTGAACTGAATGGAGTTAACTTAATTGGGAAGTTCAGTGGAAGGTTGGCTGAAGTCTGAATGACAACTTAAACCTCTGGAGTACTTAAGAGTGCTGATATTATATTGATGCTCTAGCCCTTAAACTGAATAGAGTTAGGATTTCAAATTAGAAACTAGCTACCCATCACCTAAAGATTATTGTAAGTTTAATACAAGTATGAGTCTTGGAAAGTTAGGAGTCTGATTGGATTAAATTAACTTACTACCCGTCAAGTTGCAGTAATGGATTTCATTCATGAATGTTAAGAAGGGAAAATAAAAAGGAGAGGCTATTTTAATTCTTGGAAGGAAAACTGCATAAAAAGTTTGAAGGAGCTGAGTTCCCATGGTTGCAACATGCAACAGAGCATACACTGCTGCTTCCTCTTTCACCCTATCCTGTTCATATTTGTTAACCCATGTTTGGAACTATACTCCATTTCATATGCAAGTAGGAGTGTTATAATCAGTAAGAAGCTAAAGGTCATGAAAAACTTGTATGTCAAGAGAAAATATGTTAGTGTTATAGAATTATGAAAATGAAATCCTTTAACAAAGGATAAACTTTTGACTGTTCAACTGGCATGATCAGTTGTTTTGAAACTTTTTTTATTCTCAAAATGATGATGATAATAAATAAAATAAAACTATCTTTTGGAGTCTATCATATTTGTTTCATTTCCTTTTGCTTGAAATTTGTACACGTTTATGAAGTTTTTTACTGTCAGTTGTCCAGCTATCATAATTATGTTTATTTGTTTGTTTTCACTGTCCTTTTTTCCCTGGGTCACCTCATTAACTCAAAGTTGCTATTATAAGATTTTGACCCTTAATTGAACTCTTTAGCAAAAATACTGCTATCCTAGGATCCCAAGTGCTCTCTTTGTTCCTAAGTGGTGCTTATAGCACATTTTATCTAACATTATTTTCCCTGTAGGCCTATGTTGTTTGCCACATTGCACTTGCTACAGAACTTTTTATATTTCAATCTGATCTGCTTTTAACTATAAACCTCCTGTAGCTTCTCCTACCAACAGGATATAGCTAGAGGAGGAAGATTGAAGTGGTTTTTTTCTGTGTTTTTCTTTTCTTTGGTTTCAAGTTCTGCAACTTGGATTTAACTGTTAGTAACTATGAAATGGAACAAGCATTTCATCATAATTAATTATTAGTAACTGTGAATTGGAACAAGCATTGCGTCATAATTGTGGATGAAATAATTTAATGAATGCATATTAAAGAATTATGTGAAATCTGAATGAATAGCAGATCCAATCTGGCCACAATCGGGTTCTTGTTGTTAACTTCTAAACAGTTTTCTTTTCTTTTGTTTTCTTTTTTTCCCAAAAGCAATGTAACTCTTTCATATCAAGCTCAGGTGCATTCATGGAAGTTTTTTTGACAGTGATAATTAGCTTGCATTGAATCATATAGAAGATAGGCATTTTTTTTAGGATTTTGTGGAATGTTAACATTGTCTGTTGCATACTTGTTGGTGTTGACTATTCCATGCTTATGTTGATTGTGGATACCACTAACTTTGATCCTTATTTCAGTGCCAATTATGTTTTTTTATGTAATTTTTATTTAGTTTTCTTTCTTCCTTGTCTTGTTGAATGTTTTGAGCTACCATGAAATTAATTGTTATTCTTTTGTGTATTCTTGATTACTGTTTTATATATATGTATATGATATTATATCTTGAGATTTGTATTTTTAAAAATAAATATAAAGAAGAGAGAAAGGATATTAGATTTGTTTACTGTCTTAATGACTGCAGTGCATTGACTAGACGGTGTGAGAATAGCTAACTATTGTGCTCCTTCTTAAAGGTTGGTCCAGGTGAGGTAGATGATGAATTAGAAGACGAGGTTGGATCTGAGTGTGCCAAATATGGAACCGTTACCCGAGTTCTGATATTTGAGATAACAGAGCCAAATTTCCCAGCTGATGAGGCCGTCAGAATCTTTATTCAGTTTGAGAGGCCGGAGGAAACAACTAAAGCATTAATCGACCTCGATGGTCGGTTTTTTGGGGGGAGGGTTGTTAAAGCCTCATTTTATGATGAGGAGAGGTTTAGCAAGAATGAGCTGGCTCCAATGCCGGGGGAAATTCCTGGTTTTTCTTGATGCTATAGAAATTCCTGGCTTCAATTAAGTGCATTGATAGACAGGTACATTACTCGGTAAACTTTAATTCTCATTTTGATGATGTGAGTTGAGTAGTTTGTAAGTAGCATTGCAAGCTTTGAATTAGGTTGAGTATCATTTGGACATTTCATGCTTGTACTTTTAAAAGACAAAATTTACATGAGGTGATTATTACATCATACATAAACACTGTTCACTCTTTTTTTTCTGTTTTATTGTTTATGTGCTCATCTATTGTTTGTGTTTCATTAGGGCTGTGATTTAAGAAGCTAACTTTGTACAAATTTTTAGTGAAACTTAGAAAGGTTAGCCAAGGTGCCTTTCAATTGCCAATGGCCAGTTCATATGATATGATGTGGGACTTGAGTTTTACCTAAGGCCATTTATTAGTAATGGCAAACAGATCTTTGGCTCAAGTGACAAAGCAAGTGTGCTCTTCTTTTTTTTCTTTTTTCTTGTCAATTGAGTTTAAATCTGTGGGGAGGTTACGGAAAGATAATTTTTCATGAATTTGTTGTTCTGACGTAAATAAATCTGCTTGAATTCGTTCAGAGAGTGAATGTATTGGACAAAATTCTGAAACCCGGCGCGGTTTATTTTTACGGTTTATTTTTACTTGCCTTTCCCTTAAACCTTAAATCTTAAACTCGACTTACTATGCTAAAAGATGCTAAGCGATAATGAATAAAGAGACAATGAATGATTAGATTAATATTAGTAGTCAAAGATAATGTTGGATGGAGATCTTCAAACAATATTTTCTACTAATATTATTATTTTTAAATAAAATTTTAAATTAAATAAAAATATATTATTTCTTAACAGAAAAATTAATCAAATCCAGTTTGAACCAAAACGTAATTGGATTATGCCAAAACCCAACCTAAATCAGATGGGATCCGTTCTTCGTGGCAACCTAACCGTTGTAAAGGGAAACAACTTGTTTGGTTCTTCCATTTGTAAGGATAAATTAATGAATTACGCATTAACAATTCCTAAATAAATAAATATTATATATAATATTTATTAACAAAACTATAATTTAATATTTTTTAATATTTATTAATTTATGAATATTAAATTATTTAAAATTTTTATTATATATAAATTTTAATTAATATCATTAATGATATTTATATTTTTATTATAATTTATTTTATCATCATCATTATTATTTTATATTTAAACATATACTATTAATTTTAATTTTACTATTATCATAAACAGTCTCACTTTCACTTCTGTTTTTAATTTTATCGTCCATCTAAAACACCCTGAAACACTTCAGTCCTGAAAGTCAAAAAAATGATGATACTTGTAACCCTAGCAATCTCTCTGTCCATACAATTAAAGGATCTTTTTCTTACACAGGCACTGCACAAAACAAAAGAACCGGAAGAAACCATATATTTCATTTTTCAGTCTGTCTTTTCACTATCCCTCGGGTGTCGAAAAGCTGCGTATCTTTGCACTTTAATGTTTGGGTTTTTAAAAAATTTTGGGGGTTTTGTTGTGACTTACAAGGATTATATACTTATAATTATATAAAGGTTATATCAATTTAATTTTAGATCCAATTTAATTTAATTTCTTTAATTATTATATAATATTATAAAATTTTAAAATTTAATTCGAATTTAAATTAAACATTTATTTGATCTGAATTTAATTGAATTAAATTTTATTGATTCAACTCAATTTATCAATTTTTAATTTTTTTAATTTTTATATATTATTGTAATATAAAATTTTAATATACTTAAATAAATTTTAATATAAAATTATTATTTTATTTTATAAAAATTTAAAATATATATAATTTGATTTAATTTTTTATTTAAAATTTGATCTAAATTTAATATATATTTAATATTTAAATTTAATTTAAATTAAATAAAAAAATTTAAATTGAATATTATAATTTTAAAATAATTTTTTAACTTTTAACTTTTTTCCCACCCCTGTAACTATAACTAGAATACATAGATAGATAGATAGATAATTACAGTGGGGGAATGCAATGCATGAAAAGGATCCAAAACCAAAAGCACGCACGCTGGTTGTCCTTATGCCCAAAGAAAAGAAAAGAAAAAAAAAAGTGAGAACTTTCTGGAGAAAAAGAAGCAGGAAAAATAAAACAAAACATTTAAAAAAAAAAAGGAAAGCATGAGAAGATCCAACAATTAATGGACAAAAAGCAGAAAAAGGTAGTCCCCTCCACGCGGGGACAGTGCCTTAAATTTTGGTCCCCCCAAAAAATAAACGTATGGAAATCAATATATACTGCCATGCTAATTTTCACTCTTTTTTTCTGCAGAATAAAAAAAAAAACTTTATAAAACAAGAGAGAGAGAGAACCATAGGCAAAATTGGGCATGCACAGGCTTCTGAGTAGCAGCAGCAGGAGCAGCGCACGAGTATCAAAGAAAAAATATGCAGCGCCTTTCGCACTCAACTATAAAGACTGCCTCGAATTTCACATGCTGAAGAGGGTAACCCCCTAAACACCTACGTACTGCTACACCCTATACGCGGTTATGTTGACGTTGATGTTTATGTATGTATGCCGCAGTTTACATGCATGACTTGAATAATTGATGCATCATCTCACTTAAAAGATGTAAATAATATATTAATATTTATAAAATTATTTAGATTTGATTTTAATAAAATTTTAATTTAATTTAATTATTATTAACTTAAATTTGAGTTTGAATAACTTTCACTTAGTAATTAAATCATGTTCAAATATAATTCACGAGTTTAATTAAATTTTTATATTTAATATATTTTTATTTTTTTAATTAATAAAAATTTTCAAGTTTGAATTCGAATCTAGGTGTAAATAATAGAGTTTTTATCAAATATAATAATTAAATTTATTTTTATATGTTAATTGAGCTTAATTAAAAGAGTTTGAGTATTTTAATTTCTGTCTCGAATAAAATTTAAATTAAAAAAATAAAAATTATCAAATTTAAATCGAATTTTAAATTTCGAATTTGATCGATTATATCCATAATCTCGTAATTTCACCGACCATGTACTACTAATGTTATTTTTAGATTTTTTAAAGTTTAAAACTTAATAATGCCTTTTGAACAAGGTAGTTTAATGGTGTATTTTTAAGTTGATTTAATGTATTTAAAATTTTATTTTTGTATTATTTTTATACAATCAAATTATAATTAAAAAAGTGCCTCTTTATTAATAAAATTAATTAATGTTAAAATTGAAGTGATTTCTCAAAAAATTAAAATGGATCATCTAATGCTTGCAAATTTATCCTTTTTAGACCACACATTATAGTAGTGGCAAATTTGATTTAAATCCCAGTTTAATTTTATTAGCAATAAAATATAAAATTTTATTTTTATGTTAGACTAAAATGTTTTTACATAAATAAAGTGCACATTTTTATTTAAAAAAAATTATGAGCATATAATAATATGATATAAATATAATATAAATAAAAAATATATAAATCATAGGATATAATTATTTTTATGTATTACACCCTGATGATGATATGAAAGAGACTTGAGGATTTTTACCAAAAATAGTAATTATTTTGGTATATATTTGATTAAAATTGTCTTTCTCCACAACTTTTATCCATATATTAAAAGTAACAGTAAGCAGCCTGCAGAGGAATGAGAAGATGTAGATCTAGACAGACAGACATGAATGACAAGATATATCTTTTCTTCATTTAGTAGACAAGATATTTGCCTGCCCTGCTCTGCTATGCTATGATATGGCCAGCCAAGATGCTATTTGCTTTGCCATTGCCATTCATATAAATGCCCTCCAGCTGCTTGTTTTGCCATTACTTTTTCACCTTCCTTCTTTGACAATGGACAGTAGCCTGAAAAAGCCTATCACAAAATTTAAGAACCTTCTGGTATGAATGACTCATTTATAACAAACGACAAACCACTCTTGGAGACCAGAAATCCCTTTTCATTTTTGCTTATTCCCAATCACCAGGCTCATGCGACAATCTAGTTGTCTAAGTCAAAATGCTTTTATAACTTGGAATGGGAATTGGCTGTATTATAGAACATAGAAAGAGCGTAATGACATTGAAACATGTCGTATTGGGGAAATGAAATATTCCAACAGATACACAAGCAAACTTGGCAGTGCCAATAAACTAAACCAAACCAAACCAGGCCAACAAAACTAGCAAGCAGGTCCCGATGCTGTTTATCTCACTCCCAACAATATCCAATTTGATTGAGAATTGAGATACAAACCAACTCACAAGGACATCAGATGGACAAAGATAAGATGAATCACGTCATCGAACATCCAACCATTCATATAAAGATGCAAGCATTCATGAAATCCTGCCAATAACTTCATTCATGATATCGTATCATCTTCTTTTTAAGTACTAAAACCAGATATGTGACTTATAAGATAGATACCTAAAAGTTCTTTCTTCCATACATCTACTAGATCACACGAAGGACCAATTTATGAACATCAAGGCGAGACAGTGTTTCGCCTTGTCATCATTTAGAACCTTCCATGCAATGGCCTGCTCATACGACACCGGCCTGCCCATACCAGATACACACATCCCGGCTGGAAGATACGCAAACCCCTGCAATTACAAACACAGCATATTAAATAAATTTCTCTCAATGCCAAAGAAAAGGGGAAAAGGAATTATCGCAGTTCCATGGAAGTGTATACTTTTAGGACTGCCCCAAAACAGTTTCCACTATGAATCCTGGACCAAAGGGATTAATTGACAATCAAATGTCATACTTATTTAGGTAGTTTAAAATGCATTTTTGAAACTTAAGTACTAAGTTTAACAGACGCAATTTGTGGCGGCCGACCAGTTAGAATCAGATTCAATTAGTTTTTGTTTTAGTTTCATGGAAGAAATTCAATGTCAGCTCCATAATCTACTTGCTGAATAATTTACCTGTTGCATGATCTTTGAGAACTCAGTGCAGAGAATCTTTCGGCCAGCTTCATCAAGAATCCTGTCCAGCATTATATCTTGAAGAGCCACTAGAGTAGTTTCAAGCATATCAAGGCCAGCCTGGTTCGCAAAGGTGAAAACTGGAGATGCCTGTAATAAAATTCCTCCAAATGTGTTAGTTTCCCTTAGAAAATAGCATTACAAGAATTTCGGATGGCCATGTAATAAAGAAGAATAAATGACACTCAAGTTTAAATTAAGAAATACTAATAAGAATGCATTTCCACGAAGAACAAGCAAATTAAAATTTAAAAGGAGAAAGGTCACTACATTTGTTTTCAATGAACAGCACATTATTGCATCCGAATGGTGCCACAGTTGCTTCAGTAACGCATCATCAGCTTGTGAATCAACTCGAAGGAGTTCTCCTCCAGTATGAATTCTGAAACAAACAACACAGTTACCATTCTTATTACACTCAGTCCATGAAGAGAGATTAAGCTCTAAAGAAACACTGTTATATTTCCTTTGATCTTAATAAAAAATAATAGTTGAATGCATTGCCATAGAAATTGGTCAACAATTTCTAGTGCTTCATCTACTCCTTTATTGAAATGAAATAAACTCATCACAGTTCATTAATACATCCCATTAACATTATTCTAATGAAATATAAATGTCCATAGCCAGTACCTCCAACATAACTCAATAACAATGCCAATAGTACAATTTCAACAATCCATTACAATGTCGATAAAGTCAAAGCTGAGAACCTCCATTGGCTTAGGTTAAAACTAGGGGTGAGCAAAAATCAGTTTGAACCGAGTGAATTCGGTTGAATCGGTTCGGTTTATTCGATTTTAATTATAATCGGTTTTTTAAATCGGTTAAATTGGTTAATTCGGTCGGTTTTCGATTTTTAAAATTGATAACCATACTGATCGAATTAACCGACTTTTTAATAATTAAAAATAAAAAAATTGAGATAAATATTTTTATTTATTTTTTTTGGTAAAATATTATTGAAATTATTAAATTCTTTAGTAATTTAGTTTGAATGATACTAGAGTTTGAATTTTATTGAATTGAATTTATGATTAAATAATTATTCATAATAGGAAGAAAAATGATAAAAAAAATCGGTTATTTAACCGAACCGATCAAACCGAACCGATTTTGGTCGGTTCGGTTATGGTCGGTTATTTAATAATATTTGATCGGTTCGGTTATTTGTTAAATGAAAATCGATTAAATCGGTTATTGATTTTTTCAAACCGAACCGACCGAATTGACCATTTACTCACCCCTAGTTAAAACCAAACAAAACTATAAAGCATAAAATAAAAGTCATACCTGTAGCTTCGACAAATCCAACGTGCCAAAGTAAGAGCCTCAGGAGAACCAGGCAGGGGTTTTGATCCCATATCGGAGCTAAGACATGATGGGGCAATAGCCATGGCAACCCTTTGAACAGATCCCACAACACTACGCACATATTGGCGAGCCATAGCAGCCACATTGTCCCTCATGTGGTTCTCAAAAGTGAATTGGAATGCAATAGTCAAGACAGATCTGAGGTTATAATTGTTTGGCTCACCATCACCAGCTGGGCGGTTGCTAGCAGGACCCACTTCAAGTGTAGAAGCCAAATCTAATGTCCGAGTTGCTCCAGGCCCATCCTGCAATAGAAAAGTTGCAGAAAAAAATACAAGAAATTACGTATAACAGTTGGGGCAAATTAATTTTGAAAAAAAAAACACCTAAAAGCAAAAGAAGATTTATTCTACTGAAGTCTTCATTGTAGAAAGCGCACAGATTTAAGAATCCTACAGCTTATGCTGACAAAACAATATTGCATTTACAGTATTTAGACAAGTCAAACCAACAAGGAAAGGGGAGGGAGTATCATAGACCTGCCAAAGAATCCAACTGTTGAAGCCCCAAAATTTCTCATATTATTCAGAGGATTTTTTTTTTTCAGTAGTCCTACTTGACTAGCAAATTATAATTCTGATATTAAGTACTAGGTTGATTAGTTAATCAAAATAATAAATGAGCCAATTCATCACAAGGGGAAACCAATTTGAACAAGTTTTGAGCCGATGCAATCGATTATAATCAATTTACAAAGTCTAAAGGAAAAATGAATTATCACCAACTCAGAATTTCTTTTCTTCGAAAAAAAAAAAAAATCCCCAAGGACAAGCATGCTACCAAAAATCTCACAGCACTAGGTTGACATGTTACCATAACTGTCTTGGGATCCAGGGGTATGACTCGAAATCCAGATGGCAGCAATGGAGCATCATCAGCAAAGGATTCATCAATAGGTGCAAAGACAAGCTGTGCACAGGCACCAACTGCATTTTCATCAATCCCACTGCATAGCTGCCACAACATATTTTAGAAATAGTGAGGAAACAGCCCGACAATAAAGATTCTAGCTCAAGAGCAAATAAACACAATTTCAGATATTACAACACTAAACTAACCTGTAATAAGTACATGTCCCTTGCCAGAGCTACATCTTCTGGTGTGAATGCATGGCCTTCTAGACGAACAACTTCCAAGAACTACAGCAGAAAAAACAATTTAAAAAGAATTGCTCAAATAGAATTCATGGTAAATGAACCATGATAGATGAGAATGATCACCTCTTCATGTTCCACCGTATGGGCAAGAGGCAGAATGACCTGGCTACTAGGGAAGCCACCGGGTCTTGCACAAGGAACCGCATAAGGGCTAGCTTTAAGACAAGCCACAGAGTAGGTATCAACTCCGTGATCAGCCCATTCCGAACGATGCTCCCTCAAAAAGCGAACAAGCAATGCAGGAGGGACGTTCTGCAGATCCATATTACCAGAGTTATAAGAGGTTAATCTACTGTAGGCCCAATGATATAGGATACAGCTAATGCAATAAAAGAAAAACTATTCCCATAAGGTTATTGGCATCTATGTAAACACCTGAAGCAGCATCGATGCTTTGGCACATAGTACACCTCCCCCAAAAGACGGGAACATTGAGGTGTTGTATTGAGACCCAAGAAATTTGCCTCCTGAAGAATTTATCATAATGGTCACATCTTCAACACCATCACTACCCATAAGTGACCAACCATCATCCGCAAACCCATTGACAGCATCATTAAAGCCCCTAATATCATTTTGAACAACAATAAACAAAGGATAGAAGTGATAAATTAACAGAACCTCCACTGTTGAAGTACAAAGAGCAGGTAAAATTGAAACTTTTAAACTCTGTCCAATCCTATTTGACTTGGTCACACAACTCTATCTACACAGTGCTAAATTCATCAGTCAGGTGTCTCAATACTATGGTCAACGCCTCACCTGCAAAGTCTCTGACTGAAAGTCCTTAAAACAGCAGGTTGACGACCACCACCATATTGAATTTCTCCACTTGTCTCTTGTGCAATTTGCCGTATTTGCCGCAAGGCCTGGATGATAGAAAGTAAAATAAAATTCACACAAGAAACTATGACATATTAAGTATAACCCTGATCATGAACTTACAGCAATCGTCATTTTCTGAGCAAGAATTTTGGATGACTCATAAAGTGGTCTGAGAACTTCAGGAACACTCCAAACCTAGTGCATAAAGAGGTGCAACAAATGGTGAGGCAACTAAATAAATCAGTTTTCAGTCACTAAAAAGCACTAATTGTTAGTCCGTGTCCTCACATCTAAATCAACATGATCAACAATGTGAATAATGGAGCCACCACCCTCACAAGGTCTGATGAGAAAGCCACTAGGAAGCATTTCAGCTCTAACAAAATTTGAAGTAGGAGGCCCTGTAGGGCCACCAGTAGTAGATGTTAACGACCTCTCGCATATCTGCACATAATTATGAGCAAGCAAACATATTAAGATCACCTTAAACGTGGAGGATTCAATCCTGCTAAACAAGGAGAAACGCAAAGGAAATTACAACAACCAGCATATAACTTACCACAAGACTGCCATCTTCTAAGCTTGTAGTATATCTCAGAGTCCAAAAGTCCCGTGCTGCAGCCAATGTTGTAGGTGCATAAGTCTGGCAAATAATATAGATCCAGAAGATTAGCCAAGATCAAAAAATTAAGTAAATCAGCTACATTTACGATAACATACCTGCATATAGATGAGCTCAATTGTTCCACCATTTCCCGTAGGAATTACACCCAATACATCAAGGCATCGACAGTCACGAAACCAAGATGGACGATCTTTGAGGATTTCTGCAACCTGTAATGAGATCCATCATATACTTTAAAATTTAAATGCATTCACACATTAGTTGCAAAAACTGTTTTGAAATTTTTTTTGGAGAATGATAATTACCTTAGTGGGCTCAAGACTCACAAGACCACAGGCTCGTGCCGCTACCCCACTACAGTTGCGGGAAACAGCAACAATACCAATGGAATCCGGACCAGGCTATGCGATATGAATAATGAAGTTAAAATTTCAAAGTAATGGGGAAACACAAAAATCAAGCAAACATGTAACACATGTACAAGTTCCATAGCAATGCACAATTACATACATAGAAAAACAAATAACACTTTAATAAGCTGTACCTTCATCCCAATCATCTGGACCCAGTCGACAGCAGTTCCAGTAGCTTTGGAAAGGAACTCTGCCAAGGTCTCCTCAGCAATAGCGAGCAGACTAGCAGATAGAAAACAAGGTTCACTGATAATGAAATTGCAAATTCATGTCTGCAACTAATAGAGACATCCTTTACTTACCCAGCTGGGTTGTTAGCATCCCTTTGGGGGTGCTGAGGTGTTGGGTTTTGCTGTTGTTGATGCTGACCACTCATGACCACAGACTCACAGCTATTATTGTCTGTGGTCGTTGCAGAAGCCTGTTTAGAATCTTACAAGTAAGACAAAAAAATTCACGTATATATGTAATATGATACCATAAATTTTGAAACTCTTTATGAAGCATCTCAAACGAAGAAATGATAAAAACAAGAAGTTGCAACTCAAGATTCGGGCTGACAAGGTGTTATGTAAATATTTGATTCCATTTTTGGCAATATAAATTTTGGTATGAATGCATTAAGTGTCGGACACTGGATAAATGTTTTGCAGAAAGTTTTGATATAAACAATACTCAAGAACATGACAAGCCACTGATAATGCAGGCAGTAATACAAAGAAAGCAAAAGGAATGGAGCTACAAAATAAAGTAAGAAATGCTTACGGTCTGCAGTTGCTGCTTCATGTATCCATTCTCATAGACCAGATGGGAGACCTGCTTCTGCAATCGGTCATTCTCTTCCATCAAAAGCTTATTCATGGCAGTCAGCTTTCTATTCACTGTCTGAAGGCGGGATGCTTCCTTCCTCTGCTTTTCTCGACATCTTTTCAAAAAGAAGACAAGAGTTCAGCAAACTGATTGAATAAATGCATACCTCATTAAAAAAGAAAAAAAAAACATTTTCTGAATTTGTTCATCCACATGTGTTTAGGATAAAAGAGAGAAATGAAAAAGAAGAATCTACTAAATAAATATCTAAGCATAAAGGTCAAAATAATACAAAAATTTGAAAATGCCTTTTCCATAAAGCAATGTCTGGCACAATGGACAATTTCAAATGACAACACACACACACACACAAAAAGCCTCAGTCTTGAGATATTAAGGGTTCAAAAGAGAATTTTGGCAACATTTTACAATCAAGCCAAATTACAAATATTGAAAGTATAATAAGAAAATATTATTTTTTATAGAAATGAGTGGTGTAAGAAAATTCAAAATTACGACCTGACATGATTTTTTTTTTGGCCTTTCATACAATCAACCCCAGAGTTATATAGGATATAAGGCTTGGTTTACTGTTATATTGAAAGTCTAATAGGGCACTAAAAGAGAAGAATCTACTACTAAAAAAGGTCTCTACTCAATGATGCTATACAGCACAGATATCTAAAATGCTACCAAAAGAAGAAAAATGTCATTAAAAAAAACAAAAGGGGCAAAAGATAAACCATTAAAAAGTGCCCAACAATGGATAAAAACTAAGACTCCTTTTGTTTGGAAGAAATTGATTTTCAATAAATGGCTTTTGTATTTTTTTATGTTCGCTTGGCAGAAAATTAACTGGTCAAAAAAAACTTATTGGTCAATGAAAAATAGTTATTTTTTTCTAAAAATTATTAATTTCCGAAATAGAGCTATCTAGCAGTAGGACCACTTGCTAAGCCCATGAGCTTAGTTCAACATAAGCTGGACCTTTAACATATATTTTAGGTGCAAACTTAATTTGACACATATAAATAGATAATAAATTTTTATGATTTAATAATAAATATTTTTATATAAAATAATATTTTTTAACAATATAAATATTTTTAATATAATAATATATTACAATTTTCAATATTTTATATTAAGAAATTATTTTAAAAATATTATTCTCAAATTTTTAAAATGTTAATATAAATAATGTTTCAATAATAAAAAATATTGCCTTGTTTAATATTATTATCATAATATTTTAATAACTAAAAATATTACTATTTTAAATATAAATATTTTAACAATACATGCTATTAATTTTCAATATTTTAATAATTATATCAATGTTATTTGAAAAAAAAAAAACAGATTTGTAAAAAAAAAACCAAACAAAAAAATTGTCCATTGTATCATCCAAACACATGAAAATCTCTAATTTTTCAGAAAATATCAAACATTTTCCCCAAAAAACAATTTAAGAGATACTAATAAAAAATTCAATTAGCTCTCTTTATCCTCCATCACTATAAATCAATGAAAAGCAAAAGTAGTAGAGAATTTATTGTAATTAAGAACATACATACACTAACATAAAAGTTAAAAGTTTGACTTTTTGAACATCTTATACAGAAACTTGAATGTCAAAAGTCATAATAATAAATGCAACACAACGAAAACCAGTGGCAGAAAGTAAACGTCTATTCCTTCATAGATTAGCTGCTAATATTTTCATCAAGCTTTTAAAGAACCCAGATATCAAACAAGAGGTATGGAATCAAACAAGTATGTGGTATTAACACAAATTCAAGCAACAACACATTATAAAATGGTATTAAATAAAGGGTAAAAGTGTGAATAATAAAAAATTATACCTGCGGTTCTGGAACCAGACTTTGATCTGTTTAGGTTCAATATTGGAGAGAATAGGACACTCCCGAATGAGTTGCTGCCGTCTCAAAGAGCTTGGCTTTGGGCATTCAGTGTAAACTCTTTCCAGAGCCTCCACTTGCTCTGGTGTATACCTCACATACTTGCTGCTATCCATCTGTTTGTTATTCAGTGACTCTTTGTGCATGGAAAGTGCCATTTTTTCACATTAAAACACACCCAAAAACGATAAATAAGATGAGAAAACCAATAACAAGACACACCCAGACTGAGTCTTTGATGTTTCTCTTAGTATTATACTTTTTTTTGACAGAAAATGTAAATGGGGGTGTAGCACTAGCTCGTTACTGGCTTTCTTGGAACAAAGTTTGTTGGTTTGTCTTTGGTTTTTGATCTCCTACTTGGTTGACGTCGGTTGCGGTGGTGTTGCTGTTGGTTATGATGGGTGATGGAGTTCACAATCACAGGCAGGCTCTCTCCTCCAGGAGAGCCTCCTCTCTCCTTCATCAGATAATGGGTTTTTTTCCCTTTTTTTTCTCTCGCAAAGCACGAAGCAGGAGAAGAGCTTGAAATACAAGGGGTCCTATGCTGTCTTTATCATAGACGCCAATCTCGAGATTGTTGAGAGAACGAGATAAATAAACAAAAACAAAACAAAGCCAACCCACAGAAATAGACACAGAAGCAAACAAACAGAAAGAGCATGGGAAATAGAAAGAGAATCGGCTGTTTTTGTTCTATAAATAATTTGCATTATTATAATTAATATTGTATCATGTGACAGAGAAAGCAATCAGAAAAGACTAATGCTTTAGCTTGTTACTGGCTTTTGCCTTTTACTTGTTTTCCCTTTTTGCCTCATTTTCTGCCTAAATCAAAGAAAAAAAATCAAACAAAACTGTCTGCTGATTACTACTCTCTCTCTCTCTCTCTCTCTCTCTCTCTCTCTCTTCTTATGACAACAATAAATAAAACTAAATTTTTTTAATCAAAGAATGTGTTGTATTTTGTACTTATTAGTAAAAAAAAAGAGAGAAAAATAAATGAGAGGCTGAATTGTTTTTATTTATAACAAAATAATGTAATATAGTGATATATTTACTTATTTTTATATTAAATATATATAAAATATAAAAATTATTATATCATAATTTATGTTAATATAATAAATATAAAATATAATTTTTTACTTTTTTAAATTTATATGCAATAGTTATCTATTATAAACCTTTTTTATATTTTTAATATTATTTTTTAATAATATTATTATGTTATATTTAAAATTATTATATCTATTATAGGAATTTTTTAATTTTTTTTCTTTCACTATATATATAAAAAATTCACTACTATTAAAAATGAAAAAAATTTAATGAAAAATAGCCTGTTTCTCTTTCTATCATCACTGCAATATCTGTATTTTATCTCTCTTTCTCCATGCCATATTGTTTGGTTGCTCCTTTATCACATAGCCTATGTGATGCATGCATGCATATGGTAATCTATGTATGTGTGATGTATGTATGATGTATCATGCATGTGAAAATACTGTCTGTGGGCATGCATGTGGTGAGAAAAAAGATTGACAAAGTTCGCTTTTTCTCTCAGGCCTAAACCTGGGTGTGGATCCGGGTGAGTGAGCCAACCCAGGACCCGAATCCGACAAAGATGCCCTGTTCAACAAATGTTCCTCCATCACTCCTTTTGCTTTTTCTTTTTCAATATTCGGATTTTAATTTTATCCAATTTAATGAAAATTTTGATTTTTTATTGTGAAGTATAGATAAAGATATTAAATTTCGAGACGAAAACGAAAATAAATATAATTTTAAAAAATTTATTTAATATAAAAATAAAAATTAAAAAAATAACATTTGTCTCGTGCTCATATATATTTTTAAATATTAAAAGAATTTAAAGATATATATTAACAAGTTTTTTATTAGAGTTTCAATTTTTATTTGGTTAATGTGTATGTATTGTTTATAAGTTTTTATTTATTTTAGTAAATAATTTTTTTTTTTAAAGAACTATAAGTAATAAAAATTATTCATATCCGTTAAATTTTCATGAAAATGAAAATGATTATAAATTTTTATCCAAAACATGTGTGAAAATGAGAATATTTTAAAAAATTAAAATAAAGATGAAAAATTCTCTACCGATCCAATATTTGTCTCATTAAAATCCTAATTGACTTAGAGTAATTTGTTTATTTATTATTTTTATTATTATTTTATTTGTCATTAGTGAGATTTTTAAATTTTATATAAATAATTAAATTATATATTATTAAAATATTATTATACGTCTAATGTTTTATCTATTATTTTATATTAAAATTTAGCACATGTCTAACTTACGTCAAATGACAAAAAAACCAATTAATTAATTTAATTTAAAAAAATAAAAAAATTATTAATTTTAAACAAAATATAATTAATTAGAATAATAATATTATATTTATTTTAATTATTAAATATAATAATATTATAATATATAAGTAATTAGTATTAAGATTAGTTGTACTAAACAAATAAATATCTTAAGTTTTTTTATGAACAAAGTTTTTAAAATTATACATTATAATTTGTATATATATAATTATACTTATATTATTTTTGTTATATAAAAATTAACATTCAAAATCAAATGTTATAACTTAAAAATTAAAAACAAGCCAACTATGTGAAGTCATGTGATGCTAATGGTAAAAAGCTAAGTAAAAAACAATAGGTAATTTTGTCATTTTATTTTTGCATTTATACTATTTTAAAAGGTCAATTATATAATAGATTAATACTACATCTAAGTAAATTTTTTTAAAAAAAGTTTAAATATAAAAGCATTATACCAATTAAGTAATCAATACTAATAATACTCTTTTTCATATTAGCATACTTTTTAGTGATGTCTTTTATAGTATGTCTTCTTAAAATTATCTTTGCTCATTTTCAATTCGATACTAATAAGTAATGTTGATGAACACGATTGAATGTAATATTAATATGAATCACCAATAATAAATTAATAGTTAATGCATAAAATACTTTAAATAAATATTAAATATTGGTTAATAAAAATATTAATAAATTATTAACATGAACAAAGTTAATTTTATATTTAATGTAACATAATTTCACATCATTAGCAAATTACTTTTAAATCATTAATTTTGACAAGTTAATTTTTATGTAAATTAATTATATTTATACTATTTTAAAAGTTAACAAATTAAATATAAATAACTAAAGTATTAAACCCAAAAAATCAAAAATCAAAATTACCCAAACCTAAAATTATCCCAATCTAAATTAACTTGACTTGAATTAGCCTGAATTCAAAATAACTTGATTTTTTTTGCCCAAACTTTTCCTAAAATCGAAATGATCTGATTTTTTCTTAACTTTAAATAATTTAATCCAAAATAATTGTCATAACCTCTAGGTTCACGGACCTATCGCTAGACATTGATTTAGAAGTCGTCACTAATTTTTTTTTAGGTATAATTGACCATCTAACTAAATCTGTCTTTTTTTAAAGAAAAATTATAAGTTTGACTTAGGTACCTTTAAAAGGTAGATTCAATATCTGCAAAAACATAACTAGGTTTGAGAATATGGTTACATGTGAGAAAGATTATAGCACCCCCACAATGCTCATCGAAAGATGGTACCAGCTCGATTTTACGATATCCATTAAGCTTTAAAAATTTTACCAATTAATTAATTATTGAAAATTATTCTTAATTTACTCCAATACTTTTGACAAAAAATTAAAAAAATTCTCTCACCTCAAAAGTATACAAGCAAACTACTGTTTCTCTAGTAGAGGCTCTATCGTCGGATTATTTAAAATTAAAAAAATTTCAAAAAAGAAAAAGAGAAAAACAAAAAAGAATAATGCTTCAACCTTTTATAGGGATCTTTTTCATTATTTTATTTTATTTTATTTAAAAAAATTCATGCATTTACACAAAAAAATTGATATTTTCAACTTTTCTTCAAAAATACTTTTTCGAAATTGTTATTTTTAAGAAAAATTGATATTTTCAACTTTTTCTCAAAAATACTTTTTTAAAATTTTTATTTTCAAAGAAAGTTGATACTTTCAACCTTTTCTCAAAAATACCTTTTTTTGAAATTTTTATTTTCAAGAAAAATTGATACTTTCAACTTTTTTTCAAAAATACCTTTTTACGAAATTTTTACCTTTAAGGAAAATTGATACTTTCAACTTTTTCTCAAAAATATCTTTTGAAATTTTTATTTTTAAGAAAAATTGATACTTTTAACTTTTCCTTAAAATATTTTTCTTTTGAAATTTTTATTTTTGGTATTATAGAATTATGATCATTCTTTGAAAACATTTTTATTTATTTATTCCTAAAAACTTTCACTCAAAAGATGAATAAATAATTAATAAGCAAAATAACATAAAATTACCAAAAAAGAATCATCACTCATCTTGGTGGCTCAATAAGGCTGTTGGAAAATAGGTTAAAAAAAATAGGTTGTAACTGGGTCAGATTGCCCTTGTAGTAGCCCGTAGGTTGGAACGATTAGGTTGGACTAGAAATGGATCAAAATCCTGGTCTTCAAAGCCGGGTTGAATCACTGTATCATTTTCTATTTTCATAAATGAAACCCTATCTTTTTTTTTTTATTTTTTCCCCTATTTCTATGAAACCAGCTATGTCATCCTTCTTACCAAACCAAAATTTCAGCCATCAAACAAGGTTGTCGTTGCCTCCATAAATGGTCATTCGACCACTTGTACTTGCTATTTATTTTTGCATTTATTTCTTCAAGGCACTGACCAAGGATAAAAAATTCACAACCCAATAAACAGTTGCCAGATATCCTTTTTTGTAGCTGCAACCTGCCATCGTCACTACTGGTATTTCCTTATTCTTCAAACTGACTTAGAACCTGAAAGGGAAATCTAAAATTAGCTTACCCTACCAGCCTTAGAACTCTTCTTTCTTGTTGCCTTTTTTAGATTGAAAATCTCTACAAATCCAACATTATAGCCTTTGTTTCTATTATTGCTGCCAAATTTGTGTATGATTATTGCATCTTATTAGCTTTCAACTATGTTGTGTGTGAGGATCATGAATCAAGTGCGCTTACTGAGTATGAGTAATTTTTGGGTATAAGTGAATGCTTTTAGGTTCAATGGAATCACTGAGGTAAAGTATTGGGGCTAATGGTTTATAGGGATATGTTGGGACTTCGGTTGATGTTTTACGGGTTGACGAGGATGGGAATCGAGGACTACCAGAAGTAGTGGATCAAAATTGCAATGGTGAACTTAAGTTTTTGAAAGGTTGAATGGAATTGACAAGAAGGACTCTCGATAGGTTGTTTACAAGCGATGATGGAATGCTGAGTGCTAGCTATCGGCTGTTTAGGTTCTATTGATGAATCTGGAATTATGGTTAGGTTAGAATTGGTTTTGGTTACTGCTGGAAATGGTTGCCCCCATTTGGTGGTCTGCCAATGGATTAAATAATGACGTTGAAGATAGGAACTTTGTTTAAATTGAGCATCTTATCCTTTTCAATTTGCATTTTAATTTCAAAAAGCAATTGAATTTTAAACCAAATCTTATCACATGTTATATCTTTTCTGTTTTTCTTAAATTATTTTATCTTTTTATTTATTTTCAAGGTGTCTACAATAACTA